AATGTTGTGAGGAAATCTTTCCACCAATAAGTAATCCAAAATGTATTCACTTCAGGTTTACGAAAGTAACTGTAATCAGATTACTCGTTTTTCAAATGTAACGCGAGCTGAATACAGTTACTTGATTTTTGTATTCTGATTACGTAAAGCCGTTACATGTATTCCGTTACAACCCAACCCTGTAAAGAACTTAAGAGGATACAACTGAAATTGTCTCTGTGGGGACGGGGCCTTAAAGGTCCCATGTCATGGCCATTTCTACTGATCATAATTCCATTGTTGAGGTATACTAAAATAGATTTATACCGTGCAATTTTCCAAACTCACATTGGTTTCTCATACAGCATCTCTGTATAGTATGTGTATTCACCGGTATTCACTCTCTGTCCTAAACGGCTTGTTGGAGCTCCTGCCCCCCCCCCTCCCTGTGAGCCCAGTGTGCTCTGATTGGTCGGGACGTTGAGAGGCTCGTTGCTGCTCGCCACTACTGTGAGGTGCTGCGAGGAGCGGACAGGCTTCCGGGTTGGCGATACAGAGAGACACAGCGAAACTCATCCTGAGCACACTCAAACACTCACAGCCGAAGTAAAAACAATAAGTGTGGCTTGATATTGAGTAAGAAAAAGGTTTATAACCAGGGGTGCACATAACTTTTTTGCCCTGGTTCTCAAAGGAGCACCTGGAGATGTTGCTTGGTGCTCATCCTTAAAGGAATGGTATGCTCATGACACTCATTTTTAAATAATTATCATCCGATAAAACAGACCAGTCTCTGCCAGTCTTTTTTTTTTTTTTTTTAATCCGATGACATTATCAGTGATTTTAAACTGATTAATTACCGAAATAACATCAACACTGTGGGCGGCGCCATTTTACCGGACGTGACGTAAACCATGCGTTTGGTTTCGAGGACACGTTGATGTTCATGTTATTTACTGTAGTTACTCTCTTCAAATATGCCTCATTGTATCGCGAAACATTGCCACAATTCTAATAGGAACAATCCACGGAATGCTCGGTTCCATCTATTGCCAAAAGGTAAGCGTAGGAAGTACGTTCGGAGGCAGTGGCTAGCGAAATGTGGCCGGCCCGAACCGAAAGATCCACAGGCGCATGTATGCAGCGAACATTTCAAGTTTCCGGACGACTACTCTGAGAGTATGATGAAACATAACATGGGATTTATTGAACAACCATTACTTAATGGAGATGCAGTACCATCGGTCTTTCTGGTGTCATCACCGACCAGGACACCGGTTCGGCCAGTTGAGAAATCGCCCTCTGCAAGTGTGAAGCGACGGAGGACCAGAAGTAGTGCTCGGAGTAAGAATAAGGTATGTTATAGCGCATTTCCATTGCAGCGGGTAGCCCCGTTTAAACGTCCTTTAGCGTCCAGGCCAGGCCAGTTTTTGGTGGCCTTTCCATATAGCGTAGTACCGGCTAGTGGGTATTTTCCCCAGTTTTTCCGGCCCCATAAAATCGTGGTTCTAGGTACACCATTCATGTACAGGTCTTCCTACTCGCCTCCCGAAATCAATTGCACGAGTAAAGGGATCATCTCCAGCAAGATCACCGTGCTGTTCATCCTCATCGTCACTGTCCCTGGATTCCTGACGGTTCTGACTACTTGGCTTGAACCTGTATGGCTGAATTCCCCCATCCAATCTCTTCATATTGCTCAAAACTTCTTCCTCGGCTGACGAGTCTGAACTCAAATACTCCGCCATGTTTTCGTGTGTTTACAAAGTGAACGCATGGATGACGTCACGACCATCACGTGACTACTGTGTTCACCAGCAGCTACTACACACTCCTGACGCTCCGGTTTTCATTCTAGGGGACTTTAATCACTGCAAACTTGAACTGTCACTACCCGGTTTTCAGCAATACGTTACATGTGAGACCCGGGAAGATAAAATTCTAGACAAATGTTACGGAAATGTGAACAACGCCTATGTGAGTAGAGCCAAACCCCCGCTTTCGAACTCGGACCATAACACTGTTCATCTAATACCTACCTACAAAACGGTTCTCAAGCGAAGTAAACCACAGACCAAGACTGTAAAGGTTTGGACTAGTGACAGCATAGAGTCTCTTAAAGGATGTTTTCTCTCTACTGAGTGGAGTATCTTTCATGAGATGGACGTGGATAATGCTACTGAGACGGTAACTGACTATATACAATTCTGTGTTGACAATGTGATACCTCAGAAAGAAATAACTGTGTACCCCAACAACAAACCATACATAACTAAAGAGGTTAAGGACTGTATACATCGTAAAAATATAGCTTTTAAAAACCGGGATAAAACGCAACTGAAATGTGTGCAAAAGGAGCTCAACCACATGCTCAGAGAAGCTAGAAGGAGACATAAGGACATTATAGAACAAAACTTTTCTACAATGAACTCCAAGGAACTTTGGGACACTATGAAGGCAATCACAAATATGACCCCAGCTAAAAAAACTCTCTGCACCTCTGATGACCTGCAAAAAGCAAATGAACTGAATGACTTTTACATGAGATTTGAAACCCAGGACTTCTCCTCTGAATGTACAGACATCGTAGAGACAATCCCTGCTAGTGACCAGGATGAAAGGGTGGTGATTGACCCTTTAAAGGTCCAATCACTTTTCAAACACACCTGTACTAAGAAGGCCACAGGGCCAGATGGCATCTCTGCATTCCTCCTCAAGACATTTGCAGAAGAACTGACACCAGCATGGTGTCCCATATTTCAAAAATCTGTTGATCTTCACACCATCCCCACCCTCTGGAAAAAATCAATAATAAAACCTGTCCCCAAAAAACCTTGTCCAAAGGTAAACAATGATTTTAGGCCTGTTGCATTGACATCCATTGTCATGAAATGTTTTGAGAGGATCATGGTGCCGCTGCTAAAAATGGAGGTTGATGTACATTTAGACCCTTTTCAGTTTGCCTACAAGCAAGGGCGTGGCACAGACGATGCTCTAAATAGCATCACACACCTGGTCACTAAACACCTGGAAGACCCTAAGGCATATGTACGCCTACTGTTTGTGGATTTCAGCTCGGCTTTTAACACACTGCAGCCTCACATCTTGCTTCAAAAACTGATTAAGATCAATATAAATCCTTTCATCTTGAAATGGTATTTTTCGTTTTTAACCAATCGCACTCAGCAAGTCAGGGTCAACAATGCCCTCTCAGAGCCCCGGACCATCAGTACAGGAGCCCCCCAGGGTTGTGTGAGCTCCCCGGTCCTCTTCACACTGTACACAAACGACTGTACAAGAGCCCACCCGGAGAATTATATCATCAAATTCTCTGATGATACAGCTATCCTTGGCTTAATGCACAAGGGCAGCAGTTCATCGGCTTATCACTCTGAAATAGAGAGATTTGTGCAGTGGTGTGATTCTAGCCATCTAGTGCTGAATGTGAAGAAGACTGAGGAGATGGTATGGGACCCAAAGGCAGTGGGTGACCTTAGCCCGGTGGTTATCCACAATGAACCCATAACTCAGGTCAGCTCCTATAAGTACCTTGGTGTCCATCTAGATAATACACTCAGCTGGAAGGCGCATGTTCAAGGTCTGTGCTCTAGACTTCAACAGCGATTGTACTTTCTGCGTCGACTCCGGGCTTTCGACACTGTTTTATCATGCAGTGTTGGAGAGCATCATTAGGTATGGTATCACTGCCTGGTACGGTAACTTGACAGTGCAGTCAAAGTCACAGATCGCTCGCCTGGTACAGACGGCTATGAAAATTATGGGGGTTAAAAAACACCCATCTCTCCAAAACATATACGAGCAGTCCGTTATCAGACAGGCAAACAAAATGGTGTCTGATCCCACCCACGTACTCCACCCAGAATTCCAGCTCCTACCTTCTGGTAGAAGATTCAGGGTTCCCAAGAGCAGGCTGAACCGCTATAAGCACTCATTCCTACCAATGTCCGTTAAACTTCTTAACATTGACAGGAAGTGAAATGTAGTCGAAGTCAAATGTAATGAAATGTACTTTTTTTTAAATGTTGGCCATGAGGGTTGTGCAATAGGTCGCCATTGTCAGTATGTGCGTCTGCGTGTATTGTGTTTGTTCAAACGGTGTATGATTGATGATATGTGTATGTCTCTTAAATGTCCACTATGTTTGTATATTATGTACATGTATGCGGAACTGCTGGACGGAGCCCAGAACGAATTTCCTTACGGGGACAATAGAGTATATCGTATCGTATCGTATCGTACTGAAAATGGCCAAAATGGCAGCGGCCTGACGGAATATACAGGTTTTGATAAAAAAGAGCTATAAAATCATTATTTACCGGGGAATATCGCTGATTTCTTCAGGGTATGGTTTCAACATAATGTTTCACTAAATACTGAAGTTTTGATTAATTATCTAATGAGTGGAGCATTCCTTTAAAATTAAATAAACCGTAACTTTTGAGGGGGTCTTGACTTTATTTGCCAGACACACGGCACTAAACACACATGCAGAGATGAACACAGAACACACATGCAGTGGTGAACACAAGACAACATTAGTACGACCAGTAATCCTACAAGCTGTCATCACTACCCTCCTGACTGTTCTCCTCACTGTCTTCCTCTCTGTCAGACATGGTAGCTGATGATGTAGGCCTACTACTTTCTCTCTGGTTCAGTGGCGGATCTAGACAATTTTACATGGGGTGGCAAAGGGGAGGCAAGAGGTTTTGGCAGGGGGGCATGGGAGGATGGATGAATCCACTACACAAAACACTAAAACACAGACATACATATAAACTATTTATTGTTATAGTATCCCAAAGATTAACATGCCTAGTAATCAAACAAAACAAGACTGTGCATATTTTGAAACATAAAAGTTTCAGCAAAATTAAAATAATACAAGAATTACAATAATTTCTCAATAAAAAATATACAACGGCAGGCAAAATACAAGTAGACTATATCAAATTTGACACAGTACACACAACAGTGAAATTACTTTTGTACAACTTAAGTCCTTGGATGTAAAGACATCACCTATCTATTTTAAGATAGCTTGAGGCGCCGATTGTTGTGCTGTGCAGCAAAACGTTTGACAAAAATATCCATGTCTATTGCTTTTGCACGCTCTTTCTCAATGCTGAGAATCGCTAGATTCCTCAGTCGGTCCTCTGCCATGGTTGTGCGCAGGTGATTTTTTACAAGCTTCAAAGTTGAAAAGCTTCGCTCACACCCTGCAGTACTCACTGGCAAAACAATAGCAATCTTACATAAGCGAAAAAGTTCGAAGAAAACCTCTCGAAAAGGTTCCAAGAACTTCACAAACTCAGTCAGAATGGACGGGTTTACTTTGCCATTTGTTCTGTTTCTTTCCAGAAGCCTGGTGTATCTCAGTTTTCAAGTCTTGCCAGTCAGAGCCATATGCCTCAGCCACCAACAAAACAAATTCTTCCTTTAAGAAACCATTGCTTGATGGGTTTAAAGCTTGTATACCCCTCATTATGTTGCTGCTAAACTTTGAAAAGCGCCTGTCCATCTCTCTGATCATTGAGTCAACGACGGGAGTGAATATACCTATTCTGAAGGAATAATTGCTGTCAATATGTGTTCTCTGTCCCACTGTAGATGTTACAAGACTATCATGTAGTCTGCTAGATGTGTGTCTGGTTCTTTTTGATTTGGCAATGATAGAAATGTTGCAGTCATTGCATGTTTTAATGACTGTATTCCACAGCTCATTAAAGCTCTCTTCTTTGCGATATTCTTCAAAGGTCTGTCTGAGGGTTTCAGTAAGGTCAGCTGCTTTGGTAAGGTCAACATTAGGTGACTGGAGCATCTCAGATAAAAACTTTGCTTCACCTAGCACTTTTCTGAAGACAGCTAGGAGACCTATGAAATTAAGGTCAATTTGAGAACGTAGCCCTACAGTCTACAGCTCTCTGTGGATTGGCCTCATCTGAAATGTCATCCAGCACTCTTATGACTGCAGTCAGCCTGTCCATGAGGTTTCTACATGCAGCATAGCGACAGGCCCATCTAGTGTCACTAAGTCTTGGTAGTTCCCGTGGGGCCCCAGTGAACATTTCTTTCTGGACATCCATCCAATTATTGTGAACATATGAGCCTGACATGAATGTATACAGTCTTTCCAGCAACATGAAAAAACATGCAGCTTCTGGGACACTCTTCACACAGTCAACAATGACAAGATTCAAACAATGTGCGTTGCAGTGAACATAAAATGCATATTTGGCCGCTTCCTTAACCCTTGTTTGCACACCAGAGCACCTGCCACTCATGACTGCAGCCCCATCATAGCCTTGGCCCACCAGGTTCTTTTTGTATTCCAGCCCATACTTCTCAAGACAGGAAATTATTTTCTTTGTCAAACTGGCTGCATCCAAGTGCTCTGCTTGTTGGTACTCAAGGAAGCTCTCCTGAACCACACCATTATAATAATAGCGTACGACCAGAGACAGCTGCTCAATTTTTTTCATATCTTTAGTCTCATCTGCTAAAATAAAAAAGTGTTCACTTTCTTTAACCTCTTTTATAATATCCTCTCTTACAATTTCAGCTAAGCATTCTAACATTTCGTTTTGAGTGCCTTTGCTGGTGTACTTTGCATTCCTGGGACCCTGTGACAATCGTCTTTTAACTAAGGGATCGTGTTTACTTACAACATCTAAAATCTCAAGGAAATTTCCCTTGTTTTTGGAAGTTTCAGACTCATCATGGCCACGTTGGGAAATGTTTTGAGTAGCTGTCAAAAGTAAAATATCGGCCAAAGTTTTTATGTATTTTTGATTTTCGGTTACTTGTTTTTGATTTTCATCTCCCATCATTCCAAGAATAGTTGTATTTCTCCCGGCCATGCTTTTGTATTCTGTCCATGCAATCATGGCATTTACATGTGTGTCTGATCTGGCATGTACACTGAACCCACTATCTTTGGAAGTGGCCTTCTTCCAGTTTGAATAGCCATGTTCTGCTGTGAAAACACTTGCTTTTGCAGAAACAAAATGTCTGCATGCAAAACAGTATGCTGCATCTTGAGAGAGGGAATACTCAAGCCATGGCCAAGAACTGTACCACTCCTTGTGAAAGCTTCGCTTTGCTGCTCCATGTAGTGTTTTGGGAAATGTCTTAAGATTGGGCTGCACAGCTGCATCACCTTTGCATTTTGATATATCTAAAAGAAAGATATAGAATTGGTCAATATAATTATCTAATGCAGGCGTAAAGTTGTTCTCTATCATAGCATTTGTTTTATATATTTGGTTTGATCATAATCACTAATATAATAAGATGCATTTGTAAATCTTTACGCAAGTAATCCTATATAACACATACAACAGAAAGTAGGAATGAACATGTTATTGTACATTATGTTGTATGTCAGGGACATGCCTTGCTATGCTACTGTAATGGATGGGGAATAAAAACATACCATGTGGTCCAGCTAGAGTGGTAACTGCCTTCCTGCCATCTGCCTCAGCCTCCTTCTCACTTCCTGCCTCTGTCCCTCTTTCTGAGTCTGAACCCTCTTCTTCATTTCTCACATCCACTTCCTCTCGATCCATATCTTCATCTCCTTCTGTGGCCTTCTCATGTTCCGACCCTCCTGGCCTCTCCACTGTACTCTCCTCTCCTTTTTCATTTCCCTCTCTCTTGTCCTCATTTTCAGTTCTCTGACTTTTTGTGTTAAAAAAATAAGTGATATTCCCTTTTCTTTTCATTTTTCAACAACTCCAGGCCTGCAAAAGTCAAGATGTGAAGCACTGGTTAAAATCCTCGTAATACATTACACTGTCTGGCCTTTAAGAAATTCAAAAAACTTAAATTAAATCAGAAAAGTAAAAATCATTAAAGCATTTGTGTTCAGACTATTTACTAGTTTGACGGTACACCTCTATTTACAGTCTATGCGGTAAATATTTGCGATGTAACTTGTTTTAATTTGTTAATTCATTGCTGTGACATGTAAGGGTAACCTACGTATCTTTTAAACTGCTTAGCTAACTAAATTAAAATGATCGATCACCTAGCTAGCTAGCACAATCAATGTGTAATGTGTTGTTGGCTAACGAAACGGCCTGAAAAGGAGACCGTCCGTTAAACACAATACAAACACGCCGTTTTGAATAGTGTGTATTAAACTCTTTGTGTCTTTACTTACAATAATACAAGCTTACAATACAAGGACAAAATGGTCCGACGGGTAGGCTACGTAACGGTCTTTACCTCCAGATGCTGAGGACAGCTCAGTCGCTGCTCTCTCTCTCTGAAGCTGTGTCACCCGGAGTCTGTGTGTACATTGGGCTGGCTGTGCTACGCTGTGCGCGCATGATGCAGGGCCGTACCAAATGTTTTAAGGGGTTTAGGTTACTCATTATTAAAATAGGTAAATGAATTGCTTGTTATAATGATTTGAGAAGGTTGTTGTGGACATAGTGGTCTTTCGATTTACTAATAACAGTTTTAAGAACCAAAAAGTTAGGGGGGCAGCTGGGGGGGCAAAGCCCCCCCGTAGATCCGCCCCCTCTCGGGTTGAGTCTGCGATTAGCTGCTTGCACCCACAAGTCAACAGCTGGGTTTGGGTCGAAAGTCTCTGTTGTCATCTTAGACAAGTGGATGTAATCAAATAAGTATGTGAACATAACCAATAACCTACCATAGCCAATACAAAATTAATGTAGGCTAACTTATTTTATTTATGTTGTTCATTAATATCTTATTTTACCTTAACATTTATTTATTTATGCATTTTTTTTTATCTCCAGTTTTAAAGAATATTTTTGGTTACTGTCCTATAGTATACATTGGAATGATTTCAAACGTGTTTATCCCAATAATTATAAAGGAGTGCCTTGGAAATATGTGTTTACATCAATTGTGATCAAACCGTTTGAACTTAGACTAAAGTGAACTATCTAAACACTACGGTACGTCCACACAGCAGCTTTAGACGAATCTTCCACCGCTTCCAAGGCTTCTCTGCCCATTGACTTTGAATGGGGATGACGTTACTTTGCCTCGCTTTTCGCCGAACTGCATTGTGGGGGAGCGAAGCGAAGATTTCCAGGATTTCCAGGATTTTCAGGATTCAAAAGTTGAGCAATGTTCAACTTTTGAAGCTGAGCTGGAAGCGTCAGCCAATCAAATCCCGTTTATGCAAATCTGACAGTTCAAGCGCCAGCCAATCAAACCGCGTGCAAGCTGGGAGAGCCAGACCGCAGTTCATTTCTATATTCCTAACAAAAATGGAGGATAAGTTAGTTATTGCGGTAGCAAATCACCCGGTTCTTTATGACCAGTCCCTATTTACTTACCGGGATACAAACCGGAGGAACCAGGCATGGAGGGAGGTGGCAGAGACAGTGGGTGAAACTGGTAGGTTTTCGCTTGTTTGGGGATTTTATATCCAGTTTACTTCGTTGCTAGTTTACTTCGTTGCTAGCAAGCATAGACAGTATCATTAGCCAGCATGGAATGTAGCATAAAATAGCACCATAGACATTAATCTCATAAATGTTCAAAATGTTAAAAAAATAAATGTTCATCATAGCCCTTCCCACTGACACTTTACCTCTGCCACATCATAGACTATATCTGCATCACATTAATGCACACAATGTCATATTCCTTTATGCACATATTCTGATTTCACATTTCTTAGTTTATATTAGGGCTGTCAGTCGATTAAAATATTTAATCGCGATTAATCGCATGATTGTCCATAGTTAATCGCGATTAATCGCAAATGAATCGCACATTTTTGATCTGTTCTAAATGTACCTTAGAGGAATATTTTTCAAGTTTTTAATACTGTTATCAACATATTAGTGGACAAATATGCTTTATGCTAATGTTTATTATCATTTGAACAATGACAAATATTCTCATGAATATTAAACACAACAACCTCTGAACATTACAAATATTCACCTCAATTCAACCTGGAACCTCTCTCATACAATAATACAATATGTGTGTGTGTGTGTGTGTGTGTGTGTGTGTGTGTGTGTGTGTGTGTGTGTGTGTGTGTGTGTGTGTGTGTGTGTGTGTGTGTGTGTGTGTGTGTGTGTGTGTGTGTGTGTGTGTGGTGTGTGTGTGTGTGTGTGTGTGTGTGTGTGTGTGTGTGTGTGTGTGTGTGTGTGTGTGTGTGTGTGTGTGTGTGTGTGTGTGTGTGTGTGTGTGTGTGTGTGTGTGTGTGTGTGTGTGTGTGTGTGTGTGTGTCATTGGCGCTATGTGCAACTCAAGGCATATGCTCGAACGGGAGCTGCGTGGACGCTGCAATCATGTTGCGCACTATCCGTGCTGAGTGTGCTGACTTTTCGTACAATGTCCCACTGTCTGGCTTCCTGCATAAAGTCAAGTGCTCGGCGCAGTTGTGGCGAAATGTCGCTCCTCTGTTTTCATTTAAACAGCTCCTTCTATCCATTAGCGCAGCTAGCTAGCACCAGATGCTAACAACAACAATGCACGTAAGGTCTCTCTCTCGCTCGCTCGTGCCACACATACACACACCCTCCCGGTCCTCCCAATAGCCAGTCGGTGCCTGCCGGTGAGCGTGGAAGTGTGGTCTGCCACAAGCGGGCGGCAGGAGCGGGGCTGTCAGCATCAGCTTGTAGATGGTATTTTAAACTCGATGCGCTCAGAGCCTCTGAAACTACGGGGCGGCCGAGGAAAAAGAATACATATGCGTTAATCGCATTAAAATAATTAGTGGCGTTAATTTTTTTTTGCGTTAACGCGTTATTAACGCGTTAACTTGACAGCCCTAGTTTATATGCAAAAACGCATTCATAGCATTCTATTTACATGTAAATTACTGCTTTATTTAATTGTTATCTTATTGCAATTTAACTGTATTTTATTACGGTGTAAAACATTGTGTTTTATATTAGATTTCTTGTTTTTTATATATGCACCATGACATCAAGTCAAATTCCTAGTATGTGCAACCTACCTGGCAATAAACCTGTTTCTGATTTTGATTCTGATAAAGTGTGACATGTAAAACCAACCAATTACTTGTTATTGGACAATGCAGCTTGCTCATACATTTTTTAAAATATAGTCAATTATTATTACTACCATGGTTTCGTTACGATGTATATGTCTTGCAGACATACCACAATGCACTACAAATTAGGATAGGACTAAGAAAGCTGCATTGACATTGACATGTAAAACCTTTTTATGCAATTGACAGTGATAAAGGGATTAGGTTTTCATTAATGGAGGAATCATTTTCGTAAATTAAAGAAATTAACTGTATTCTTTCATTTCATTTTATTAGACGAAGTGTGCAGAAAGAAATGGAAGACACTGAGGGACAAGTACAGGAAGGAGAAACAAAATGAAAAGGAGGGGAAAAGAAGCGGTGCAGGGTCTTCGGGGAGATATAAGCCCTGGCATCTCGCGGCAGTCATGACTTTTTTAAACCCATTCATGATTGACCGTGAGACGTCCAGCAATGTCCCCCGGCAAACCCTTCCTCCATCCACCCTGGTGCCAGAGGAAGAGAGCCAGGAAAGCCAGCCAGGTGGCAGTCAGCCAGCCAGTCCAGCCAGTCAGCCAGCCAGTTCAGCCAGTCAGCCAGCCAGTCCAGCCAGTCATTCAGCCAATCTAGCCAGCCAGCCAGCTAACAGCCAACAAGCAGAGCAGACAGGACAGGAGGAGGCGAGTGTTGCGATCCGGGGGAAAAGGAAAAGGGGAAGTGAGATGTCCTCCTTTCAGCAAAGTTTGCTGTCTGCCGTCGGTCCTATTCTGGCCATGCCACCACCACCCCCACCAGTGGTGGTGGAGGAGGACGAGGACCTGTCATTCTTCAAGAGTCTCTTGAGAATGATGTCAAGACAGAAGAGGTTAAGAGTCAGATTTGACATTCACAAGGTGGTTTTAGAGGCAGACCAGGAGGAAAATTGATTACTGATACTGATCCACATTACATGTGTTTACACATCACACACTTCACTGACAACATTACATAAATAAAAGTTATTTAAAGTATGTTATGGCTATACTGTGTCTTCACTTGTTCATGTGGTTTGTCAGTTGCAACATACCAGAAGCTTCATGTATGTCGATATATAATGTGCCGTCTTCTGTAATTGTTCAGGTGAAAACCTTTTGTAATCATGGGTGGTTTATCACTAAAAACAGGACTGAAGGAAAAAGGTTGTTAGTCATATCATAATATAATAATATCAATTCAAGAAACATGTTTATTAGGAATGTTTGATTTTAAAATGGCTCATTTGGAATATTTGCTTTTTAAAGAAAATATGGGTAGCTCTTAAAAGAGCTTTTGGTTTGTAGACAATGGTGACCCTACACCACATTCTGCTGCCATGGCACTGCACCCTCCTCATTGAAATAGGAGCTGAAGGTCTCCCTCAGTTGGATGGATCTGCGTGTGGCGTTGTTGGAGCCCATCCTCGGTGCATCACACAGGGTTGAAGAAGCTGGAGCTTCATCCGTGGACTCTGCGATAGGTGTGCGTGATGGCCTTCCTATCGTCTTCCTGCGGAGGAAGTTGTGCAACACACAGGTGGCCTTCACACACAACTCTACTACCTCCGGGCTGGTGGTGATGACACGCCTGAACATTCTCCACTGTGATGAGAGGATGCCAAACGCACATTCAACCACCAACCTGGCACGGCTGAGGCGGTAGTTGTACATCCTCCTCTCGCGTGTGATCTGGCGTCCAGGGAATGGACGCAGCAGGTTTTCCAGCAGCGGAAAAGCTTCATCTCCTACAAACACATGGGGAAGAAGGCCGAGCCGCTCTGCTCCTGGGATGACGGTGTCAGGTGGTAGCTGCAGACTGCCATCTCTGAGGCTCTCTCCAAAAGCGGAATTCCGCAGGCTCCCACTGTCGCTGCTCCTTCCAAAGCCTCCAACATCCACTACCCTGAAGAGGTACTGGGCATCCACGACAGCCAGCAGTACCAATGAGTGGGTGGACTTGTAGTTGAAGTACAGGGACCCAGAATTTGCTGGAGCCTGGATCACCATGTGCTTCCCATCAATGGCACCAACGCAATTCGGAAAGTTCCAGCGCTCCTGGAACCCAGCAGCGATGGCTCTCCAGTCCTCCATCTGTGGAACTGTTAACTGTGATCGTTATTCTCGCGTCCAGGAAAGAGAAGCTTAAAAAGGAGACTAAATGGAGTCTCTGGAGGTTCAAATTTGGTACTTTAATTAATAAAAAGGCGCGGTAAAGTCACAAACAGGATTTTGTTCGACAGAAAAGCAGCTGTCTCTGGCTCTCGCTAGCAGAGGG